TTGGTGCTATCTGCCTCTGTACACCCGCACAGTAGATTTTAAATCAAACATCAAGAATCAAGAAATGATAAACAGCAATCAATTATTGCCATACTGTAACTGTTTAGGAATTACAGCCATTTTTATCCATAGTTTTTAGACGCCTGAAGTAATTGAACAGTTAACTGACAAGTGGTTTTATGCCCAGGTGAAACCAGTCCGTCCCCTCATAATCTTATCAAAAATTAAGCAGAAAAAGATCTGGAGATGAATCCAAGTATTTGGTATCTTTTCCCTCGAATTCTCAATGTGATGTCTCAAAGACATGAAAAAAACATGTGAAACAAAAACCTATGAGACCTATGCACTGGCCAGCTCAGCAAAACCAAAAGGACTGGAACACCATCGTTTGTTGGTTACGAAAAAGGCCTTCACGACTTCTAGACCAGTCAAGAAATCTATCAAGGAGCTTAGTCTAAAATGAAGAGATGCTTTCATAAATGGAAAGAGAAGGTGCAAATCAGTGGTTCCACTGAAGAATGGGAAGAACATATTAGACTTTTAGCAAATATCTAAAAGAGCCTACACAGTTCTGGAACAACGTTTTCATCTGTTCTTTGGTCAGATGAAATCAAGAATCATGGAAAGATGGGGAGCATGGAGAAGAAAAGGAATAGCCCATGTTCCGAAGCATACCACATCATTTGTCAAACATGATGGGCATATGGGAATGTATGGCTACCACTGAAACCAGGTCACTAGTGTTTGTTTATTTATGAAGTGTACAGGGTTGTACTCTCTGCTCCGATTCAGCCAAATGCTGCAAAACTGATCAGACGGTGCTACACAGTGCAAACTGCAAAAGCAACCCAAGAGTATGTCAAGACAAAAAAATCTGATATTTTTCAATAGCCAAGTGAGTCACCTGACCCCAACCAAATAAAGCATGTTTTTCAGTTAGCTGAAGAAAAAGCAGAGAGACCCACAAACAAGCAACTACTGAATGTGGCTGGAGAAAAAACCTGCCACCTCAAGAAGGAGGAAGAACAGCATTTGGTGATGTCCATGGGTTCTAGACTTCAGGCTGTCAGTCAGGTAGACTAGACTACCACCACTGACTTTCATTATTAGTATTAAGAACAATCCTATTTAAAAATGCTTTGTTTAATAACTTGTGAGTCTGAAAATGAGGGATTATGTATAAAAATGACTGTAAATATATATGTAAAATAAAAAGAGAGAGTGAGTAGTTTATGTTTATACCGCTTCAGCTCCATTGTCTTGTAGTGTTTGGCAATCAGCATTTCCTTCATCAAACTTCTGGTCCAGTTCATCTAGAAAAACAGACAATTTTAGCTTCGCATGCAAAATCAGAAGCTCATTTTATAGAGAGGTATTTAATTCCTTAAAGTACAGAAAAAAAACAAGTTAAAGCATGTTTTTTACTTGTGTTCCATCCTAATGTGCAATATTGAATACTGAAAGGGCTTGTTGTGGCCAGTACAATATAAAGGAAAGGTAAATAAAGAGTGTCCTACTATCCTGGTATAGATGCAGTAGACTTAACAGGACTCATTCAGAAAAAAATATGTAAAATACAGTAAAATAATAATAATTGACAATGTTAATGATTACATGTTAAAAAAAAAAAAAAGCAGATGAATATAGTGTCACACCTGTAAACACTTGCCCTCAAATCTTGTCATTCTTTGGGCATAAAAGAGCCAAAGTGTTCCTTTATGTGCCCACTGCTCATCTTTTCAAGACCCTGAAACCAAAATGTTCGCACTCACTGCAAATTAATTCATTTTACAAACCCAGAAAATCTGTCCCATAAATATGTGCTTTTATTCATCCTTCAGTCGAAGACTTGTTGAAATTATTCAGCTTTTATTCAGCAGATGTTGCCAAATTTGAATACATGCAGCACAAGAGTGACACCTGCTGGTCTAAAGGAAAAGCACCCAAGAGAATTTGTTGCAAGTAAACAACTTTCCCTAGACAATGGCAAGTGTGCAGGAGAGAGCCAGTAAACATTTTATAAGCTCATTTAGTGATCTAAATTTTACACTGAACGTCTAACATTGTCTTCATCTTTATTATCACCACTGCAGTAATCATCCTAATCATCACCACAGGTATGCAAGGTAGATGGTTTTCTCCTTTAGCCATTGCTTTTGTATGATATCACAAAACAAATATGATGACCCACGATAATCATCCAACAGACTAGAGGCCTGTAGAAGAAATCCTCCAGTTCCCCCCGAGGAAACACCGTTTCATCATTCACAATACAAACAACTGTAAAGTGAGACTGGGAGTCTAGGAATTTAAATGAAGACATCGTACTACAACTCCAAACAAGCTCAGCTCAGCAAGGCAGTTCTGTTGGAGTGTGAAAATGGATACGGGGCTTTTCTATTTTCATGTGAGCATGTGCATCAAAGACCTTGGAGTAATTAACCCTAAACATAAGAGGAAGACAAGTATACGCTCTGATAAACAACATAATTACACACTTGTTTTGAAACATTGGATGAGACTGAAATTTCTAATCAGGAATGAAAAAAAAGAACAGTGCAATTAATATCTTTAATATTAGTTTTCCTTTCTACACATACCGGTTAAGGAAGAAAAATGACTCCGGTAGAGATTAGAAGAGTTTATGGAGACATTTAATGCATTTCAAATGCAAAACTGATTGAAGTTTAGCCATGGTGGGAGATGAAACGTTATGGTAATAATAACAGACCTCTTTAAGAATATTTTATGGAAATCACCCCGCATTCATTAGGAGTGAGGGCCAAGCGATTGAGAGTAAGCAGTAAGCAGAGGAGGAGCTGCTATGACTCTAAACATCTTAACATGATTTAAGGATGAGGAACAGGCTCATGAAAATGCTAAATCAAATTAAATATGATATTTAGAATCTCCCCCTTCTTTCTCATTCCAGTTTATCCGGAGAGTCTGGCTTTGCAAATGGTTGGACTGCTTTATGTATGTGTGTGCAACTGAGTGTAAAATGTGTCTGACTTTTCCTTTCATAATCAGGCAAACACACACACACACACACACACACACACTCCCTCCTCCACAAGGCATAAGCAGACAGAGCACACCCACATTTCAGATGATGTGCTGCATCCATTAGTAAGAAGTAAAATTGTATGCAACTGCAAGCAGATATAATTACTCATATAAACGACTCTTGCTGGCATTATCTTGGAAGGTAAAGTTACAGATGATTGTCGCTCCAGAGAAATGCAATAAAACACAACTCAAGATGAAGTGATAGGCTAGATAGATTGCACATGTGCACACACAAATACAGTCTGCTTTTAGCGATGTGGGATTTTTTTTGCTGATCTAAATCCTAAAATGCATTGTTAAAAAGTTGCCAGAGGACATTTCACCAAATTCAAGTCTTAGCACAGTAGCAAAGCAGGTATTTTATCATTTTGCCTACCAGATGTAAAGGATTGCTGAAATCATGTGATGTTCTTAGAAGGTGTAGTGAAGAGGTTAATACAGAATTGAATAATCAAACATGAGCAAAGAGATGCATTCTACAAGAACGTTTCAAAGATTTTCCACTCCTTCAGGAAGCACTTTAAAGTCCAATAAACTTCTCCACAGGACATTTTTAACCACTATTGCAAAGGAATCTGTGAGTGAGTGGTATAATTGCTACCCTGTTCTTTTTGTTGTTCTGCAAATTATTCTCTAATTTGTGTTGGGACTTTTTAGAAAACCCATTAACCCAGGTAAAACTCTTCTTTACCTTGTTTTTTTTAACCGAATCTTCCTTACAGAAAAAAAAAACTACTCTGCTCTGTCTAGTATCTGTGGATACTAGGTGGGATAGAAATTTGTTATTGCAACATTTTCAGTGCTGATGCTCACCAGGCATAATAACCTCTGACAGGGTGACACTTGCAGTAGGTTGTAACTCAGAGCAAAACAAATCACTGCTTTACACAGTAAAGCCAGTTTCTGCTGATCCCTTATTCACAAGGGGGTCACTCTGCATGTTTGATTTAGCGAGATGCCCTTCCTGACACAACCCTCGAGGGACTCGTGTCTCCTCTCAGGATCAAGCTGCAGCGCTTTTGTTAAGCGAGTGTGTAAACTACTACACTGTGGATGCACCACACTACATCACACAGTGTGTGCTTTTATTTATTTATTTGCTTGGCCTCCACAAGCCTGGTCTACTTTAGCATTAACTGTACTGCAGCTAATAAATTCTCAAGTCTTGAAATACTACTTAATGGACCTAAATCACTTCACACGTCACTCCTTGTATTTCACTGGACAGTACAGTAAATTGCATATTTACACCCAGATGATTTAATCCACTCAGCATGTACTTGAGTTATAGTTGGGTGTAAAACAACATGCACTGTGATTTGGAATGCTGCCACTCTCTCGGTCACTGACCAGGGTCCTGTTAAAACATGCAATGACTGTATGGCTACATGGGAGACCCAGCTGCTGCTGGCTTTGCATAAATCTGAAACACACAGAAAAGCTGAACAGCTGAGAATAAAAATGGTTGACTGGTCTAACTCTTTCATTCTGTGATACCACACTAACATGACTTGATACTTATAATGCTAATGATTTGTAAATGAAGATTTGGTGACTCATATGTCACTTACTCCAAATCAAACCTAAAGACTTTACTCATAAAGACAGCTGGAATCTCCCTTTGTTGGTATTATTAGAATGGTAAGATCCACCAGTTTCGGAGCTTGACTCAGTACAATGGATCACTAGCTTGGCATTTGTTGCCATTGCTAAATATTATTGTTATATAATGGAAGTGCAAAACCTTGCCATGTCCTTTTAAAAGATATGGTATATTGAAATGTCTTGCATTAAGAATAGACACAAGCCTTCTACATTGTGGCATTAAGTATTTCTTATGTATAGCCTTTATCTTTGAGATTTGTTTCCAAGATACATCTGGGAAAAAAATGCCATGCACTTTTGCGTAGAAAATTCCTCATATGCTCTGTGCTTAGATAACTTTGACATAAAATCAAAGAAAACCTTTGCTTAACAATGTTGCAACCAGACAGCCAAAGTAATATTTATAAAGGTCACAGCTTCTGTTAAATGTTTAAATAATTCATGGAGCTTTTTCCCCTGTGCTGTTCTCAAAGTTGCCTGAAATCTTGCCATTGACCGTTTTCATTAAACAAAGGTTTTAATCTGAGTGAATGTCTAAGTGCAATATGAACACATATTAAAATCTGATTTCTTTTCGTTTCTACACAACTGAAAAAAACATGAGAGCATGACCATTTTATTCCAAGTCCAAGTACTTATGCTGTTGAGTTGTAATCATCAAATCTAAGAAAACACTGAACGCAATTCCTTTCTCTAATAATTCAAGCACTGATAGTCTTCTGTAAATGTATTTAATTACTAATTGATTTATATCTTTTCTGATAGTTGTTCGTGTTTTCTTTATCCTCTAAACTACATTATATGGACTAAAACTAGAAGAAAAGACAGAAAAACACATTTTAAACTGCATCGTTGATGCCATTTGCTTGCATTCCTAAACCTTTCTTTAACAAATAATATAAACTTTAGATAACCACCAATGTCAGTTATTTACCTTTGCCATTTACAGTGTAAGTCAAAGCTGTTTCAGTCTCTCAGACTAATATTAACCCCACGAAGACTTGTGATCATATCACAATCACTCACACCAAGCTCTGAGAAATGCTAAAAAAAAAGGCAAGCCTGAAAAGTAGAGATTGAACATGATAGACATGAGGAATATTTGTGTCAATAAGAGTGTCACACATCACCTTAACACATCACCATCACAGCCGGTGCTGTTGTATGTCACAGCCAAAACACTTGTTAACAGATGAATGTGGCAGATTAGTACAGCTTCCCTGCTCTTTAATCCAGTAATCCTGCATCAATGGGTCATGAAGAAACCTTTTCTGCTGTAGTGAAAAGGAGGAGATGAAAGGAATAGAAGAATCCACGAAGAACAGACAAGCATGGCTGTGTTGTCGGAAATTTGACATATGAGCGTGTGCACAAATGCACATAAAAACAGACATGTGCGCGCGCGCACACACACACACACACACAAACCACACGTTGTAAGAACTTAGCAAATGAAAAAAAAAAGTGGTGCCATCATTCATCCCTCACTGCTTAGCCTCTTTTTTGACACAGGCACACGATTTGAGATGCACACTCTCTTTGTGTACATGTCTCCTGCCTCCTAACACTGGGTTGAACCCTATTTCACTCTGACAAGCATTATAGATACATATGCTAACAGGGCTAATTCCCCCAGCAG